GGGGGGGGTGCGTACGTATCCTCCAGAAGTGGAGGTGTCAACGTTGCTTTCAAAATTACTTTTGTAGCTGGAGGAGGGCACGCCTTAAAAGGTGAACTAGGGCATGGCGCGGGAACAGTTTCTCCACAGTAGGGTTACCGCACACAAGTAATGCTACACAAGCGAGTACACTTCTGTCGTCGTCCAAGTAGACTTGAGCAAATCATCTGTGTCATTCCTTAAGAGTATACGCCATTCCAAAAGCTTAAAGAGATGTTTCAGAAAAACGAAAAAGACCTCTACGTGTCACTCAAGCACTTTATATCTGAGAGTGGACAGTGCTTGACTTCAAAAAAGATAGATCTATTATTGATAGGAGAGTTCACCAGTCAAGTCTAAAAGCACAGCACAGGTAAACAAAGCATTCTCAAAATCAAGTTGGTATGTTTGGTAAAATTGAATTTTTCTCACATTCATTGACAGGCATGTATTTGATCAGCTAATATCTCGTCATTTAGCCAAATTACAACCTGGCGAAATAAATTTACCTGTTCAACTGGTCCAAAGGGGATCGGATGTTACATAAACCTGTCCAAAAGGGACGCACCCTTTTTATGCTGAAAATGCAAACGTAGACATAACATTATTTTAAAGTAAGCTTGTTGCAACAAAGAGAAATTCGAAAAATATCCCGACTTTTTTATGTTAGAAAATTATGCCAAATGCAATTTACTTTTGGCAAGAACTGCATGACAGGAACACTTCATTGAAAAGGAATAACACTCAGTTCATAATTGGAAAAAAGCCAGAAGAGACTTTGAATGAAGTGCAGTTTGCTCTTGCCTAGGCTTGCATACTCTTTATGAGAGTGCAAACGTGCTTGTGTGACCGCAAGCAAACGTGTTTTTTGCATGTCCGTGAGTGCCTCGTTGTTTATTATTATTATTTCCATCCCGTCCATATTATGTAGGAAGGAAGATTATTGAAAGGTGGGGGGGGGGTGAAATGCGGTCAGTTGAGACACGCTGAGCTCGACAAGCTGTCGCTGAAAGCATACTTTTATAGTTATTGTTCTGTTACAAGCAAAATGAGACCGATACAGGTCCAACGTGTTACAAAAAGAAAAGAAAAGCTGTTTCAATAACCACACGAGAGCTGACTCAGTTCGGATAGGACATGAACAAAAAATGTCATGACTCGCTTGACCACGCCCTTTTTATCACGCCCATTATATCACTCGGCCTCGCCCCCCTCGCGTTTGCCAATGTCCTTCGTCGCTGGAGTGCAAGGCAAGAAGAGCAGATATCTGTACACTACAGTACACAACATGTTTCTGGGTGATGGTATGGTATGGTGTGGTGTGGTGTGGGTTAACCCCACCCCCACCCATGGGTTTAGCCCTCCACCCCCACCCCCTTTTTTTAAACCAACCACAAACACAGAATGGTCATAGGGGGACGGG